CCCATCTGCCTTACCTTGGAGAGGATGCAGAGGAGGGAGAGGAAGAGGAGCTGCTTCTCCAGCTGGAGCCTCATGCTGCTCTCCCCTCTGCCACTTCAGCACATCACCCCCCAGGCAGTTTGGAGGCAGCGCCGTGTTCGCAGGTTTTAAAGCCCAGAGTAGGTCCTGCTGGTGTTTATACTCTCCCTGCTCTGATGTCACTCACAGGCTCCAATATAAACATGAGTAGGTTTGGATAAGCCTCAAGATTTTCTTTTTTTTTTCCTTTCTTTTTTTTTTCCAGCCCACATTCCAGCTGCCATTTCCACTCTCCTCAAGGTGAGAATGTGCCGTCCACCAAGACAACAAGCAAAGGGATGGAACACTGTCCCTTGGGAGCAGGGGAGAGGGGATAGGGAATCAGGCTGGTGAGGTGATCCAGCTCCTTGCTGCTAGCCGTGACTGGGAGGGAAGGTTCATGCCTTGTCCTACTGTTCAAGGTCTGCCCAGGCAGAGCCAGTGTCTTCCTCCTGGGATTTGAAGGGATTGATTGCTGCCCTGGGACAATGCCATGACCAAGCAGGAGTGGGGCACCCACCCCCGTATTTTATGCTAAACCCAGTGCATGGAAGGCTGTGGGAGAGGTGTGAGTTGCCCAAAAGAGCTGGAAAGGGATTTGCTGTGGTGGTGCTGCTGCTGCCACAGCATCCCCATCCTGAGTGAGACTGCAGCCACCCGGGAAGGCTGTTGGAGCAGGGGTGTTGGATGCACATCATGTTGCATTGCCCTGGGTACATGATGCAGAGATCTTCAGGAGACAGACCCTCTTCTTCAGGTTCCAATTGCCCAGATCTTACCACAGATATGAGGGGAATTTGTGAGCCCAGAGCTCAAAGGAAATGCCTAAGCATAAGGATGCAGGATGCCCTGCAGCTCTCCCTGGCTCCTCTCCTGCACCCGTGCCCCTTGCCTGCAGAATGTGTTCTGGAGGCAGGGAGTGCTGCTCCTGCCTTGGCCCAAGGGACAGGTCCTGGTGGCTGTGCACAGACTGTCTGTATCATACAGGCATAACAAGAACTGCTGCAAGATATCAGATATTGTATGTTGGCAAACACGCGGGAGGGGCTGAGTGCCATATAAGCAGAGCACTGAAATCATGCAAGTAGGAGTGATGCCCCATCCCTCCCTCCAGGCTTTTTCCCCTTCCTTTTGCTTTTGTAAAACAGGTTCTCACTCACCTGAGCAGCTTGCCAGAGCCTGGAAGCCAGGGCATGGAGCAGGGAGGGCAGAGCCCAGCAGAGAGACAGAGAGCTCTCCCATTACCACCCGATTCTCCGTTTTGGTTTTGCTTCATTAGCTGCAATCAGGCTGCTAACGAGGTTGTGGCAGCTTGTGGGAATACCAGGCCACCTTCCAAAGGCTGCTGTCACTTATCCCAGTGCTGGAGCCTCCACTGCATATGTTGGAGCCCCAGCTCCCTTCGGCACCCAAGTCATGCCCAGAGGTCCAGGGATCTGTCCTGGCAGCCCTGCAGGTGGTGGGGGAGGCATGAGGATGGCACATCACTCTGAACTCAGTAGCAGGGGGTTCAAGCCCCACCGAGAGGTGCTCACAAGCCCAAAGGGTTGATACTGAAGGCTGGAGCCACATCTCATGCTGCCACTTTCTGCTCCAGGGCCAGTGCCCTCCCGCTGGCTGCGGCTCAGCTAGACGTCCCGGGGACGGCTCGAGAACAACCAAAGCTCTGATCCAGCCTTGCCTCAGGGGGACAGGGAGTTCAATTCATTATTCCAGGCTTGTGTTTATTAGAGACTCCTGATTAATGTGTGACTCTGGGAGCAGCCAACTGACCCATGTGTGAGGTCTTGGGGAGCAGCAGGACACTCCTGGGGTAGGCTGAAGCTTGGGGATGCCCAGGGGAGCCCACTGGCAATTAAACTCCTGCCACCTGATGTATCCTGGGTATAGGTTCAGGTGTTTGGGGTGGGAACCCCTTGTTTACCCTCTCCCTCAGCTCCAAACAAGAGGGGACATTGCTTTACCCCACATCTGATGTCACTGAGATTTAGATGCGGTAGGGTGACATCAGTGCAATGGTATGACATCAGGAAGCTGTCAGAGCCTGAGCAGTGGCAGAGAGCCTGAGTCAAATCTGAGTCAAGTCAATACTCCAAAGTCAATCAGCCAGACAGAGCCAAATCCACCATCCCGTGCCTGGCCAGCTGCCCACACCTCTGATAGCATTGGCAATCCTCAGTGGTACCTTGCTGGGATTTGGAGGTGCCCAGTGGAGCCAGATGGAGGAGTACTCACAAAGTCTACCATGATCTGCCTTCCCAAAGAGGCTTTTCCATGGATGACGTGTTCTTGAGCTTCCCTTCTCCCATCCATCCAGGTCCCACATGCCCGCCCAGGTTGCTGTGCTGGCGCAGCAGGGGCTGCAGGCAGAGCCTGGCACAGGAATACAGCCCCTGCACCGGTTTTGATTTGCAAAGCTGCACGAGAACAGCACATTAGCAGTTCATTTTATAAATACTCAGTTATAACCCTTCCCCTCTGGAGCACGTACCTCATATGTGTTCTGTACCATATGTGTGATTTCAGAGCTAGTAATTAAGTCCATATGTTGTGCTCTGCACTTTCCATGGTATTAGTGTCAGGTTTTTTGGGGTGTTGTAATTTTAATATTTTTTTGTGGTCAGTTGTGCAAGAAAATAGTTGATACAGGGATCTGAATACATCTCCTTTGAGTTAGCCGCTGGCAAGCTCTGCTGTTTCTATAGAAATGAAGGAACTGCCCCAGTGAATTTACATTTCAGAGCTGAGTTTTTTCATGTGTTTGCTGTTTAACGTGCCATCGTGAATAACATGGCAAAGCTCTCATTTGCACACCCTGCTCAGCTGAAATTGCATCCATCTGTGGTGGATATAGACCATATTCTCCTTTTCCTTTCCTTTCCTTTCCTTTCCTTTCCTTTCCTTTCCTTTCCTTTCCTTTCCTTTCCTTTCCTTTCCTTTCCTTTCCTTTCCTTTCCTTTCCTTTCCTTTCCTTTCCTTTCCTTTCCTTTCCTTTCCTTTCCTTTCCTTTCCTTTCCTTTCCTTTCCTTTCCTTTCCTTTCCTTTCCTTTCCTTTCCTTTCCTTTCCTTTCCTTTCCTTTCCTTTCCTTTCCTTTCCTTTCCTTTCCTTTCCTTTCCTTTCCTTTCTCCCCTTCTTTACTGTACATTATGTGTTGAACACCATCCCTAGAGCTGGCTGAAATCATACTGGGGTCTGGATGTCCATCTCTGACAGGGAGCACCAAGGCTGTCCTGGGTCCTGGCTGGGCCTGTTTCACTTCATATCAACAATAAAATCATGGGTCTAGGGTGAGCCCTGCTCCATACCTTGATGGGGAGAACATTCTCTTTGCTTCTAGGCACTCCAGGCCAAAATCCCACTGCAGAGAAGTGGGACTGTCCATAGAGGGTGGACAGCACTGGTGGAAAAGCTGAACAGACATCCAGCTTGGAAAATCCAAGAGCCCTGAGCTGAAAAGGAGATGCCTCAGGTCTCCCTCAGCTGTTGGACACTTTGGGGTGGCTGCTGGATGTTTTTCATAAGACTTCTGGAAACACCCTGGCTTTGGGAAAGTTTTAAATACCTCTGCTTTTGGCAGGATAGGAAAGTTGTTTCCTACCCAGAATTAATCTGGCTCCAGTTTCAAACAGCAAGAGCTGAGAGAGGTGGTGATGGCTATTTCCATCCCTGTCTGGCCATTCTTATTCCCTCTGGTTCTGACACCTTAACTGGAGAGTGGAGTCAGGCTGGGAGAACCAGCCACCCCGAGGGACAAGGGATGAGCCAGGCAGTCTTTTACCTTGAGATCACTGCTTCCACCCCAGGCCTGGAATGGGGAGACTGAAAGTATTTACCATCTGGTGTCTGTCCAAGTGACTTGTGAGAAAAGAATTCAGGGCTGCCATCCAGTTTCTGATGGTCAGGCAACTGCATCAGGAACTTGGGCTTCATCTGGGCCCAGCTGACCTCTCCAAGCTCCCAGCCACGGCGTCAGGCAGTGAGCAGTGGCTGGGCACTGCCCTTGCCAAAGGAGAAATGGGAACGGCGCATGATGGTGGGAACACTTGACCCTTCACCATTTCCAAAGCTTTTTAAAGTAGGTTTCATTAGAAAGCAACACTGACAAATGGGACTTGGGGCTGGTTCCAGTCTCGAAGTCTGACATTGCCAAGAGGAAGGAGCTGAGCGATTACATGGGGAGCAAATGGACTATCACAACCAAGAAAAGGCTTGACCTAGTCAAAACTATAGTAGGATCTCATCCTTCAGGCTGTGGGGCTTCTCATTAGCACAAAATAGCCTTGTATCAGCTGTTGTGAAAGGACAGTGCTGTTCCTTAAGAGGCATATCAAACCCTGGGCAGTACTGTGTGATATTGTTTTTCTGCAGTCCAGACAAGAGCAATTCATAATTGTCACCCTAAGTTAAACATTCAGATAGCTCAAAGAATAAGACTTTTGTAAAACAAAGCCTGGAAACTTCAGCCAGATGAGGTTTTTCATTATTATTTGGAAAACAGTGTCAGAAATCATCATGTATCAAACATTATGATCCTCTGGGAGTTTATTTTTGGTATCAAACATCATTGAATATAAATGTCTTTTTAAAAAATCTCTCTAGAAATTGTATCTTTCAGACAAGATATAATCCCCAGATCCTGACCTTGTGTGATTACTGACAGGCCCTTGGTATTTTCCATGGAGCTGCATGGCTAACTCATGTTTCCTGATCAAATCACTCATTCTTCTTCACTATCTCTGTTTTTCTTGTGGTTTTGGGCTAAAACAGACAGTGTTTTTCCTTCAGTTCTTGTCTTGCTCAAGGGTGCTGTGTGTTCTCAAGCAGCTGCCATGTTTCTTGCAGCATCAAGGAGGCTGCAAATTGGGGCACACACTGAGGTACAGCCAGTGATGCTCTTAGGTCTCTCCAAACTCACCTCATAATTGTGCTACTTCTACTGTAGAGAGCAAGAGATCCAGTAATGTCTGTTTCCTTCCAGTTCTGTTTTCTGTAACTCTGGGAAGACCTTTGAGGATG